ATCCCGGTTGAGGATCTGATGGTACCCCATCCGCAGGTCCAGGGTTGAGAAAATCGCTCCCCCCCAGGTCGTCAAACAACTCGTCCGCCACCGGCATGGGGTACTTGTCCAGCACCGTCTTGTCGTTGTGCCAGCCCGGTAGTCCTTGCAGATCCGCCGCTCTGTCCAGTTCCCCTCAGCGTCCTTCTTTCGTGCAATCACCGTCGGCGCGCAGTTTGGCTCCTTCCCCCCCGTCGGCAGCTGCAGCCTCGTTATCAGCTTCGCCGCCTCCCGCTCGTCGCAGTAGGGCTTGAGCAGCTCGTGTTCGTACTGGGAGAACCGCCGGCGGGGCGCAAAGATGGGCTTGTCGTCTGTGAACTCCACTTCGAACTCCACCCCCTCTATCGACGTGTCGCTGAGGTCGTAGATCGTCCAGGCGAAGATGCTCCGAAATGCCTCGAGCAGCTCCACGACCCGCTCTCTCTGCGCCTCGCTCAACCCCGGCCAGATCTGCTCAGCTCGATCCCCACTCGAATGGCTCTTCCGCGTTCTTCTCAAATGCTCCGCACCTTTCTCCTTGGAATTTGGACCAACCGCCGCCGCCGGCACCGCTTCCAACCACTCAGGCCCTACTTCTTGTCCGCCGAGCGCGAGCGAGCTCAGCCCTTCTGTCTCCACCGCCTCCTCTTGTGCGCCGGCACCTTCTTCAGCAAAAACTCTCCGTCCTCCGCCCTGGGCCTCCCTGGCCCCTCGCTTTCTTTGGGTTTCTTTGCCCCTTGGGATATTCTCGCCCCCCGAGCTGCGGGTTGGCGCTATCCGACTTTTTAGCCTTAATTCGGGATCATCGGACGCTGGCCCGATTGTGGCCCTATTTTCTTCGTCGATTTAGCTTTCAAGTCGGCCGAATCACCCTAAATCCGGGGTTCACGAAATATATAGCTAATTCGTAGTAAACCGAGCCGAGTTCGATACTCGGTGTTAACCATATTAAACGGTATTTTATTGGATAATACAATGCTTGCCCGTGGCTAGCCGATTTAGTAGGGGTTAGTAGTCGGTTAACAATATAAACATGTGACACACTTGTGCCAAGTTGTCTTTGTGTAACCGGTTGGATAATGACTACCCAAGTAACATGCCTAGCTATAAAGGAGCTCCCAACCAACTCTTAGACATCTACTTGCAAGTGACCTTGAAGGAGAGAAGAAGAGGAAGGAGCCGCTTCTTTTGGAAGGGCTGTTCATTGAAGTGAAGGTACTGTCTCCGGTGCTTCTCATGTATTCTCATTGATACATGTGGTTTCTTAGCATGATATATCATTCTCCCGTGACTCACCTTGTCTTAAAACCATTGCGTCCGTGCAAATGCATGTCTTGAGAGACCGCCCCGGTAGCCACGAGCCCAGGAGGCTTTCTCCTTCGACTTGCAAGTAGATCATGCTTTGGTTTGAGCTTGGTTGCATTGTGGAGCTAGTTGGGTTGAGGTGGCATGGATTTTAGACGTTCCGGCACTTTGACTTACGTAGGGTTTCCCTTTTGAAAGGAGACCAAAGGCTGATTTCAGGGACAGCGGTACACATGACACCTTACGGACCAGCAGGGGCACCCTCAGTAAGTTGCATCTTGTGCGGTGACAAGGCATTGGCCGCGTTGCATGATTTCAGACCTTTGAGTTACGAGGCAGGAAAATTCTGATTTTGGAGCCACGTTACGTCAGGAAGTGCGCCGTAAGACAGCCAAGGTTTTGCTAGGTGTTTGCTGCACATTGCCGCTTGGATCGGGGCGTTACGGGCTGATTTGCCGCTGTTGCATTTTGCTGAGGGCAGAGTTTCAGATCCACGCCGCTGTTCTTGCGCTTCTGTTTGAGCAGCACTTTGACAGCTTTCTAAAGGTGCATGCTTGTGAGGGACAGGCGCACGCCTGCTTAGCGCAATGGCGCCTGACTGAGGATGCATATTGAGCACATGTCTGACCCTTAGCGCGCATCGCGCTGAAGCTGACTGTGCGCCATCATGGCAGTCCTTAGCAATGCAGGATGGTGGCGCCGGAGTGTGGCCTCATGGCTACAACGACCGAGAAGAACGAGCGTAACGCTGAACCCACCAAGGAGGTGTTTGACGTTGAGCTTGGGCTCCGTTTCCTCGGCACTCAAGACGTGCTTGAAGGTTTCCGCGAGCGGCAGCGCATCATCAACAAGTCCAAGTCTGACGGCACCTACGTGGCGCCGCCGAAACGGGAGCGCGGGGTTGGGATCCCATGCTTGTGGACTCGCGCGCGAGTGCTGCTTCCGGAGTTGCCGGTAGTCTTGAGGGAGGAGGGAGTGGTTTGCATCGTGA